AAGATTTCTAATACTACTTTTTCAAGACACCCAGCCCCCTCCCACCTTTTCTACTAAAAGATTTAGCACTGAGATGCAAATCCCAAACTGTTCAAATTCCAAGGTGTTCAAGCTGAGAAAGGCAAAAAGTAGACATGGCTGACTGGTTGCTGGCGAGGGTTTCTTTTGAGATACAGATCTATGCTCCGTCCTAAACATTGCTTTTTACTTGTTTTGTTTTGTTTTTGTCTTCTTGCTCTTCTAGAAAAAATAAACTATCCAAGATGACTGTCACTTACTCCAGTAAAGTAGCAAATGCGACTTTTTTTGGATTTCATAGGTTACTACTCAAGTGGAGAGGCAGCATCTACAAACTGCTGTACAGAGAATTTATTGTTTTTGCTGTTCTTTACACAGCAATAAGTTTGGCGTACAGGTACTTTCCTTTGCATGTGTCCTTAAATGGCCAACAAATATCGTATAAGAATACAGTCTCAAAAATCCAAGCCTTTCAGTTGCCACTGACTTTTGCATTATGTGACCTCCTCCTCTGCATGATCCTCTGTTGCCTCTTCTCCCTGGGACAGGGCACTTTAATCCACACCTAGCCATTTTTACAATGTCAAATAGACTCTAATTGGTCACAATGATTGGTGCTAATTGGTATTGGTCATGCTTCCAGAATTTTGCTATAGGCATAAGATGGAAGATTTATACGTAGACCCTCACTAAGGGATGATTTTGAAGGCAAAAGTCCACAGACAAATAGTTATTTGTGCCTCTCTCTCAACTATGTCATTCATAGTTTGAGGTGGTGATTTGACAACTTGCAGCGACTGCCTACATACTGAACGTGTTTGTGAATGGTGTACCTCAGGGAATGTTCCTTCTTTTTTCCTGGAATGACAAAATCTTATCCAAGATGGTGCCCACCCCACCAACCTTACCAATAGCTCAGTGAAAGCAAAGGCCTGAAAATTAATTTATTTTCTTTACATCTTCTGAGTTCAGGCATATTATATGAACAAAAGAAGATCTTTATTCTTTATAACATCACAAGCTACGCCTGTCAGATTGACAGGACATTTGAGCAACATTATGCCCAAGAAATACTTTTATGACTAAAAATTATAGTCAATAAAATTTTATCAGTATTATAAATGGGAAGCTCTATGAGTTTTTTAAATTATTAATAATGATTGCATACATTTCTTCTCTGGGAGAAGTTAAAACTTAAAAGAGAAAAGCTAAAGGTTTTTGAGGCTGTATTTCCACCTGTTCTGTGCACATCAGTTTGTGCTTTTCCTTCTGCGTACAGTGAACAAATTTGGGTACCATTGCTGTCACCGGCTTTCTTCCTTGCAGCCACAGGACCCCATAGGAAGAAGAGAGACATTAATTTGGCTGGCTGATAATGACCAGAAGTAAAATATCTATCAAAACTGTCACTCCAAACAAATGTATATATTGGTATACATATTGGCAAAATATATTTAAAGGGAAATTTTTATGAAAAACCTCATAATTTTTCAGATATATCTTCTCCATATGATATTATCTGGACTATTTATGTGTCATTTAATCCTCCAGACTATGAAATGGTGGAAGACACATGACGTTTCAGGATAATTGTCTCATTAGTTTATTTTTACTGATGTGAATTTACTGCTGCTACTGCTGCTCAGAATAGAAAACTCTTAGAGCAGTTGGTCATAGCCAGAAATGCTCCGTGGGGCCTTAACTTTGGTTCCAACATCTTATTTATACCCCACAAAATTGTATACATATATTTTTTCTAAAGACCAAAGAGTGCTTACGTTTATAACAATAAGCATTAGTTCAAGTCACTTTTCATTTTTTGAAGTTCAAATGTAAAAGCTTGTTAAAATGGATCCTTACATCTTGATCAAAGGTCTACCACGAACAACAGGCTGGATTTGTCAAGGAAGGCAGACACACCTGTGGACATGTACAGACATAGTTTTATTCTCATGTCTACCAATGACCCCAAGTCTTTAATTCTGTTACAAGCAAATAGCTAGACTTAGCAAAAAGTCATAAGACCGAACCAGAATTCATTAGTTTGATTATATCTCTTTTGATTTGGGGATGGATTAGACAAAGTAATCGCTTTCTGTAAAATTTTTGTGTCTATTAGCTAAGTATTTTTTCCTTTGGACAACTATTAATACTAACCACCACTTTATTTTTGATTAAGGATGACACCATATGCTAAGTGATTTTGAATGTCATATATATTTCAATTCTCACAACATCCCCTGATACATAGGTACTATTATCCCCATTTACAAATGAGAAAACTGAGAGGGATTTAAAAATATGCTCAAAATCCAAATCTGTAAGTGGCAGGTTTCGGGATTCAAACTTAGCGTGGTCAGACACTACGGTCTGTGCTCTCCACATTAAATCCTCTCTGACTGTTTCTATTTAAGTACCAGAAACCATTCCGGCTGTAACTGTCATCAGCATCACCTTGCTAGGCCTGTCCACCAGGTGATGCCTCTCTTGTCAGCTTTTCCTGACTTCAGAATTTCTGACATCTCCTCCGAAGCTGAGGCAGGAACTCCAAGCGCACTTGGCACCCCACACACACCTCGGTCAGCACCAGCTCCCAAGTCTTCATCTGCAGTCAGTTTGGTGGCTCACTGTCCAGTATCCCTCTGCTTCCTCCATCAAAGCTCTGCTGACCCAAAGTCCTCTGACACATGTTATAATGAGTGTTTCCAAGGGATCCCTTCCTCCCTTGGAACAGCTGCATCCATTCGTTTACACGAATTCATCTGTGTTGCTTCTCTTTCCGGATTTTAATCATTATTATTAACACGCCTTGAGACATTTCTTCTGAGTCTGAATCTCCTCCTCGCCACATAAATATCAATAATAGCTCCATTAAATGGATTTATGTTTAACAATACCAGAAATGGGTTTGCATCAGATCTATAATATAAATTTAATATTTATATTATAGAAATATAAACCCATCAAATATAATAATAAAAATTTAACTTCTAATTGTCAAATCTGTGTTGTTTTATATTTTAAATAATTGTAGGCTTTAAAATAAACAGTCATAACATCCCTCGAAGCACAACATGTGTAATCAAGCATGTGCTAAGCAGTGTATTCAGGAGGAAGTAAGATCAAAATGTTAAATCCAGGGTTATTATTTAATAATTACTTAAAAAGTGTAATCCACTTAATTAAGATGCTCTTTTTTTTAAGTACATCTGATGAATAATTAAAAAATGAACTCTTTTGTGAGGTATCTC